ATATATGATTTGAAAATATTTTCTCTTGTGAAAGTTCTCTTCTCATTTTCTTGATGGTGTCATTTGGAAACAGAAGTTTTTAATCTTCATGACTAATTTATTTTTTCCTTTGTTACTTGTGCTTTTGGTATTACATCAAAGAAAGCTTTTTCTCATGAAAATTTACTCTTATTTTCTTCTAGAGTTTTAAAATTTTAGCTCTTACATTTAGGTCTATGATCCATTTTAAGTTAATTTCTGTGTGTGATGTGAGGTAGGGGTTCAGCTTTGTTCTTTTGTGTGTGGATCTCCAGTTATCTTGGCACCACCTACTGAGATGACTGTTCTTTCCCCCACTGAGTTATCTTGGCATTCTTATCAAAGATCAACTGATCACAAATATAAAGATTTCTTTATGACTCTCAATTCTATTTCATCCATCTGTAGGTCTATCCTTATGCCAGTATCACACTTGATTGCTTGATTACTGTAGATTTGCAGTAAGTTTAAAAATTGGGATATAAAGTTCTCCAAATTTGTTGTTTTTCAAGATTATTTTGGCTATTTTGGGTCCTTGAAATTCCATATTTCTACAAAGAAACGTGCAAAGAAGTCAGTATTTTTTTTTTCTTCTTTTAAGTAGGCTCTATGCTCAATGTGGAGCCCAATGCGGGCTTGAATTCACAACCCTGAGATCAAGACCTGAGCTGAGATCAAGAGTATGATGTTTATCCAGCTGAGCCACCCAGGCACCCTGAGAAGCCAGCAAGATTTTGAAAAGCATTTAAAAAAATATTTTATTTATTTGAGAGAGAGAGTGAGCAAAAGAGAACATAAGCAGGGAAGCAGGGGTAGAGGGAGAGGTAGAAGCAGGCTCCCCACTGAGTAGGGAGCCAGATTCTGGACTCTATCCTGGGACCCTGGGATTGAGACCAGAGCCAAAGGCAGATGCCTGACCAACTGAGCCACCCAGGTGCCCTTGAAAGGGATTTTTAAAAGCATAAATTGCTTAAAAAAAAAAAAAAAGGCAAAAAAAGCTTAAAAAAAAAAAAAAGAGTAAGGAGGGGTAAATGATTTGACCAAGCAGTAGAAGCTGTGGCCCGAAGCCTGCAGAAAGGAACCAATAATGGGACATGAGAAGTTCAAGAAGGTCCTCTTACATAAAATCTTTTTAAAAAATGTTTTTCAAAATCTTGCTGGCTTCTCAGGGTGCCTGGGTGGCTCAGTTGGATAAACATCATTGGAAGCACAGGGTACCAAGGAACGTGGGAGTGACTTGCAGAGTTGAAATGGGGGATGAGCTAAAAGTCTATTCTCAGAGAAGTCCAACACTCCCGATGTACCCCGAACACCCCTTCAAAGCCTGGTGACAGCTCCTCCTCAAGGCAAGAGATTAGAGATTTGCTCTTTTCTAAAGCAGTGGTCTTAAATCGTGGCTCATGAACTGGTTTAGGCCCACAGAATTTGTTACCGGCCCTAATAAGATAAGTACAGAAAATACAAATAAGTGTTTAGAATTTTCATAGAAAATTAAAATTGCCTCAACATTCAAGTGAGTTCTCAGTGGAGTTTTCTTGCTGAACAGGATGTAGACCAGTTTGGATGTTTGAACTCCAGTTGGAAGTCATGTGTGGTAGGAGATATGGACTAGCCACACACGTTAGAACGACATGTGGGTCCCTGACAGATCAGATTTAAAAACTGGTCCTTCACCACAGATAGCTTGAGAAGCATTCCCTAGAGGCTGACAGACCAGTTGTATGTGTGGTTAGGAGAGTGTTGAGGCTCCTGGTTAACAAACTTCATTCTCAACAATAGGATATCCAGGCTTCCTCCCACACTCATTCAAGAAAATTGTCAGGTAGGCTTACACCCTCCCCTAACACCCATCTCCAGAGAGGCGTCTAGAAGATCCTTATCAGCAAAGACTTAATGGCCCAGAGAGACTTTGAAACATTGACATTTAGAAGTCTCTTCAGATAAAAAGCTGCTTGACACCCCATCTCAATATCTCTACAGTGAAGTTCTTCAATGGATAAGTTATACCCATGCACCTAAAGCTTAAAATAAACTTCTAAAATGTTTGTTTTGTTTTTTGAATAGGTTTTATACTAATATGGTCCAGAATTCAAAAGACTCAAAAGGGTGCAATGAAGAGTGCCATCAGCTACTTCTTTGTTCTCTTCTGGTAAACTGTTTAGCACCTCACTCTTTAATATAAATAGGAAGTCTATATGAAAGACAGAAACCAAATTAAAGAAGTAAGAAGTGCAGAGAAAAGAATGTAGAGTGAAGAAAAGTTCAAAAAAAGGAAAAGAATCATGTCCCTGGAGACAGAAGAGAAGCTATTCCACTCATGGAAGAATGGTAGCCTATTAGAAAAAGGAATATTCAGCGAACAACAAAAGAGAACTCTGAGAATTTAAAAATATAAATATTTAAAATTCAACAAGAAAAGTTAGAAAAAATAGTTTATGAAATCTTCCAGAACATAAAACAAAGAGATAACGAGATGATAAATTAGATACAGAAGCTGGGAAACTCAAAGGATCAGGTCAGAAGATCCAACATCCTGACAACAGGAGGTCCAGATGGACGGAACAAAAAAAGAGGGGGGAAGAAATCATTTAAGAAATAATCAAAGGAATTGTTTTTTTTCCCACAATAGAAAGATATAAATTTCCAGGTCAAAAAGACCCATCAAATGCCTAGTATAATGAGTGAGGAAGGAGCCATCCCAAGGCACAGCATTGTGAACTTCCAGAATACTAGAGGTCAGGGAGAAGAATCAAAAAACTTCCAGACGTGAGATACAAAGGACAGAGGGTTGACATGGCATTGGGTATTACAACAGCCACTCTGGAAACTAGAATTCTGTACTTGGGGAAACTATCGGTCCAGTATAAAGACATTTTCAGTTATATTAATAAGTAACATTTTATTTCCTTTGCTCGCTTTCTTAGGAAGTTACTGGAAGATGTGCACCACCAAACCAAGGCAGGAAATCAAGGAAGCAGAAGATGTGGAATCCACAGGACTGTGGGGAAAGCTGCCTTAGCCCTGATCAGGATGGAGGGGAAAGTAAGGAAGGAAGGGATGGAGGGAGAATAAAGCAATGAAGTGCGTGCAAGGAAAAAGCAGAGGCAAGAGACCAAGGGGGAACCCCTTTGGCTCCAACTCTTCCTGAGGCACATTTTTAATCCTATACTTGGCTTTGTGGGACACTCCACTATCCTTGTAACAAACTCCTCTTCTTGCTTAACTAGTTCACATTGGATTTCAGTCACTTGCAACCAAAAGAGCCTTCCTGATACCTTTGCTACTCAAGGAGTTAGAACCAGCAAGTGCCAGCATCACGTGGAGCTTGTTAGAAATGCAGATTCCCATGCATCTCCCAGACCTACTCAACAGAATCACATCATAACAGGTTTCCCTCTGCACATTGAAGTCTGAGAAACACTGTCCTAATATATCTACTTCACAAGGTGAAGGACTGGGCATATTAGAGGTAATATGTAGAATCCCTGAGCATGTAGTAGGTGCCCCGTAAGGTATTGATTATGAAGAGGAAGAGGAAGAAGAAGGAACTAGGACCACTCGGGAATGACTGTCTCAGTCCCTGGGTCCACAGTAAATGGTGGTTCTGAACCAAATTACAAAAACAGGCACACAACAGAAAAGGCAAAATCACATTTCTACCAGGAAACAGGTTTCAGCTCTGTTCCGGGAACCTGCCAGGTTAGTTAGTCCAGGTGTCAACATGGGAAACCAGTAAGAAAAGCTACCTCTCAGGTGTGGCAATTGACTAGGAGTGAGTGACAGACACTCAGCATCTGGGTGACGTTTGGCAGGGGAAACGCTGAGCTAACCTAGCCTTTCTCAGCAGGGCAAGCCTTTGGCCCCAGCACTCAGGAAGTAGGTCAGGAGGAAATATCCTGAGTGAGCAATGCTGAATTGCTTTTTCAGGCAGAAATCCATGGCCCATAGGGCTGGGGGTGGATAGGGAACGGGAATGACAGGAGGTTGGGGGGCCCACTGCGGGGGTAGGGGTAGGAAATCACATCCCATTCTTGGCAGAAGCAAGGTTGCCTCTCACATAGTTTTCCTGGCTCTGGTCCTTTGGCGTTCAGCCACCTTCTTCATGCTGGGGGGCTTCCAGGGACTTTGGAATGCTGAGTAAATCTGAATGAAGCCTGGGACTGGAAAGATGTTAAGGGAAGGAGATGTGCTTGTAGAAAGCCTGTGTCCTATCTCAGCCATCAATGTGCTGTGGATCGAGCACGATGATTCCAGGTCCGCACCTCCCCGAGAGTTCCTGCTGATCACTGCTTCCTAATTGCCCACCAATTGTATGGCACTGAACTCAGTCCTTGGGAGTCCTTCCTGGAGACGCACCACAGCCCTCAAAAAATTTACACAACAGAGTCTCCAGTCCTTTAAAATAACCATGGGAATCTTAATTTTATTCAGAAATAGCAAACTCCATCTTTAAACGGACGTCTTTGTGAAGGCTGAGCGTAGGTGCCGCCTTTGCAGCCACCATGATGGTGACCAAAGCCTAACATTTTCTGTGACTGGCAGCGAGAACATACTTACTATGTGCCAGGCACTTTTCTAAGTGTATTTTATGTATTTTAAATGTATTGCATATTTTAATTCATTTGATCCTCACCACAACCTTGCGATCTTAAATACAATGTCAGTCTCTATTGTACAGATGGGAAAGCTGAGGCAGAAAGAGAGTAAGTGAGGACGTGTAGTAGATGGCAGAACTGAGATTCAAACCCTGGCCGTTTGGCTCCAGGGACCCTGTTCCTTAACCGTGCATCGTACTTAGACCATGGGCTCAGGTGTCCACAATGGCTCTCTTGCAAACAGATCCCACCTCGCCCTTAAACAAACGATCTGATTTTAGCCAGATAACTCAGAACAACATGGTGAGGGGTAAGAGTGGAGGTGTCAGAGGTCAGAGATCTGGGGTCTACTCCTGGTGCTGCCGTTTCAAAAGGAAGGCCACTTACGTGGATCGGGTGCTCAACACAGGTCAGGTACTGGCCACTTTCCATGTTTGATCTCCCGTCGCTGTCCCTCCCTGGGTTTCGGTTTCCTTACACGTCAGGTGGAACAGGTGAATTCAGTGATTTGGTCTGGACCAGACTCACTGGAGAGGTACCAGGTGCCGTGCCAGGTGCTGAAGGGCACAAACAAATGAAGTAGATACCTCGCCTTTGCAAGGCTCCCGGGCCAATTCTCTTTCATTTTATAAATCCTCTGGAGTTGAGCAACGTGATCATTACCCCTGTTTTTGAAAATGGGGGAAATGATATTTGAACACTCAGTTCAGTCGTAGCCAAACAGAATGTGAGCACAGGTCAACTCTTAGCTCGGGGCTCTTTCTGCTCCCGACCCTCCCACTTCATCCTGACGTCACTGGGACTAAAACCTACGAAGTCCACTTTGAATTCCTAACTTCCCCCAGTCATGTGGTACCTCTGTTCTGCCTTCCCCATCCTGACAAGTGCAATCACACATGCACACGCGTATGCACACACGCTCGGTGCTGGACCCCCAAAAAACACAAGGTCAATGCTATGGAGTAGCTGACAGTCAGTCCCCTCTGGCAGCCCTCCTTTCTGGGGCAGAGCGCAGAGCTGAGAGTCTGAGTGCAGAATCAGCAAAGCCGCAGCATCCCGCTGACTCGGAACTGAAGCCTGTTGCCCCGTCATTACTTGACAGTAGGCAGGAAGTCCTCAGCTAAAGATAAGGTCAGTCTGGTGGCAGAGAGGAAGGGGCTGGTGAGTGCAACCTTCTGCTAAACACACCCCCACCATTGCCGTGGGCTCTCCTGCAGCAGCCAGCACTGTGCCCTGCAAACAGTAGGTGCCAAGCGCGGTTTCCTGATGGATTAGCTCTTCTGAGCTGCTCCGCCCAGCACAGCTGCGGGATGGGGTTGCTAGGCAGGGGCATAATATGTGGGTCTAGTGCCTAAAGGAAATGACTTCAGCTCCATCTTGTTTAGCTAAGCTGAGCTCTGCCCAGGAGAACCGCAGCTCTGAAGATGTGATCTTTAAAGAACTCTGTGTTAGCTCACTTCTGCAATCTGTCCAAAGAACTTCCGTTTCTATCCCCTAAGTTAGGATAGGGGAAGAGGCCCGTCATCCTCATGCTTTCTCGAAGTGGCATTAAGAGGGAAAAGGGCTTTAGATGTCGCTTAGTCTAAACTCGTCCTGTTCTGTCCTCCTTGCCATTCCCGTGTCCATGCTTCCATGCCTGCCACATCTGTCCCCCAGGGCAAGAACCTCCTCCCCAGGTTAGAGTCAGGAGGGACAAAAACGTCTGTGAACTTCCAGGAACCAAGGCCACTCTTGCTTGTTGAAGGAGATCATCCCCCAGTATCTATTTGACCTTCTCAAAGTGTGGTGGGATTTTTGACCGGGCTAAAGTCAACCTTCCCCAATCTCTCTTGCGGTATGTCCACGTGATCAAGTTCTAGCTAATAAGAAGTTTCAGGAGGGGCACCTGCGTGGTTCAGTTGGCTAAGCATCTGACTCTTGATTTCAGCTCAGGTCATGATCTCGGGGTCATGAGATCGAGCCCCAAGTTGGGCTCTGTGCTCAGCAAGGAGTTTGCTTGAGATTCTCTCTCCCTCTGCCTCTGCCCCCCACCCAATAAATAATAAGTAAAAATTAAAAAAAAAAAGTTAGCAAGAACAATCATGCACTTAAAAGGAAGGCCAGTCCAGTTAGACTGGACATAATGGTGAGCCATCCTCAACTGTGTGCTTAAGACAAATATCCTGAGAGTACAGTAACAAGCTAAAAGGAGCCTGGATTCCTAACACTGGGGAGCCCCCATATTATCCCTGCAGTGTATACACTCAGACTCTTCCCACTGGAGAGAAATAAACTTCCATCTTGTCTAAGTCCTTCTTATATTGGGTCTTGACAGAGCTGCCAAACTTGTATTCTAACTAACACAACACCCTTTGGGGTGTAAGGGCGGTCATAACCTCCCCTTCTCTGAGATTCCTCAACTCTACTCACCCAGGAGCAGCTTAGAGAGTTCTATTTATGAGAGTTTATCCCAGTGGTCTGTGAATGCCTGGCTCGTCTGGCTGTTGGCTGAGTGGACCAGGCATAGGCATCCCACCCAAGCAGGGACAATCAGATTCTCTCTCCTGTAAATTTGCAGATGAGATTCACTATTGCCATCCAACCGGTGATGATGGCATGAAACAAGACACGTAAGGAGAAGCAGAAATGAAAGGCCAGTCAGCCTTGGAAAGGCAGAGTGAAAGAAGCTGCCTAGGTTGGTACTGGCTTCCTGGTTTCTGGTTCCAGAACTTTGTATGGCTTCGCTGATCACTCTGCCTATGGTTCCTAGGAGAGACTCTGACATCTTGTAATAAATTCTCCCTTTTGGTTTTAGATACTTGAGTTTCATTTCTGTTACCTCTAACCGAAAGTGTCTAAGTGTCTTCCGATCCTTGTAAAGACCTATGTATCCTTGTAAGCCAGGGGCCCCCTCCTCTGTGGCCCACTCCGTGGCATGCTAGTTAGATCCTTTAATCATTATAATAGAGGGATCTGAGGTGAACTAAATGGATGGTTAGGTTGATTGATTGCCTGGTTGATTGGCAACAGGTCAGTCTATGGACTTTCCAGGGCCTTGTAGTATCTCAGAATTAGGGGTGAAGGGGGTCAAAAACTTCAAGCTAAGTTTGGCCACGGAGGTTTAGTGGCAGAGCCTGGACTGGAACCCCGCCTGGCCCTGGACCTCCCAGTCTCACTCCATCTCCCCTGCCATCAGGCTGGTTGATTTTGGGGGTAATCTGACACACCAGAAACAGCTCCCCCGTGCTGATGAGCAAACTCCGTAGGGCAGCTATATCAGATCTGTCCTTTCTGTGGCTCCCAGGAAGAATGCAAAATGATCCTTTTCTCTTTCTTTTTAACTCATTCTTTCTAATTCTAAATCTCACTGTGGATTTTAAAGAATGAACATCTTCTCTTCCATGGAAGGAGTAACGAGTGTACCTCTACTGTGTACCAGGCACTTGTGTGTGACACTTTACTGCTATGCCACTGAAACCCTACACGGCGCCATTTTCCAGAGAGGAAAGTGAAGTTATGAAGGACTAATCAGCTGGCCAAAGACACACAGCTGGTAGGAATGGAACTAGGGAAGGAAGGAATCCTGGCTGGTCTGGCTCAAAGCCCTGTGTCTTTTACATGACGTCATACTGCCTCCTGAAGTTTCATCTTTACCAGTCCTTTTGGCTTTTCCTTTCCAGCTTTCTCAATGGGCACCTGCTCAGCAGGGCTTGATTTAGATCTGTGATTTAGATCTGTGTTGTGTGGGGCCGTGAGCCCCTGGCCCTAGTGGGGGAGGGACAGTATGCCAGGTGAGGCCTGTGGGGCCAAGGGAGGCTTGGCAGATGGCACTCCTCTCACAGGGTGGCCTCTCATTTCCCCTCTGGGGCCTGTCCTCCCTCACTGCTGGCCTCCATCTGTTTCCCACTTGCCTCAGGCTTATGTTGCCTTTCTCCATCCCTAGGCATTCTTTAGTGCCTGGACACTAACAGGATTCCAGCCTCCCCTCTTATCCTCCACAAAGGGAGCTCTTGGGTACCCCTGTGTGCTCCCTTCTTCAGAGAATTCATCTAGCCTGCTCATTTTTTTTCCCTCAGAGGATGGAACAAAGGCCTCACACCTTCGGGCTCAGTCTGTCTGCTTTTCAAGCTGTGTTTGCACCCAGAGCTGAGTCTCTAGCTCTGGTTCCCAAAGGCCTGAGGGCAGGACTGTGTCTTCACATGCCGGGTGGCATGCATGGTCAGCACCCTTTAGAAAACAAACAGCTGTCATGCACAGATGAGGAAGCTGCCAGGCCTGGAGAGGCTGTGGAAAACGTAAGCAAGCCCGAGGTCTTGACCTCTTCCACTTAGTGTACAAGTTCACATCCCCGACAGTGTCTGCAGAGGCCCTGCCAGGACTCCAGAAAGATTCCACAATTCCACGGTCTCCCTGAAGAATCGAGGGTGCACGGTTATGTGACTGTGTACCAGGGGCCGTGAAGGGAAACCCCTGATCTGTTGTGGACTATAGAAACAATAATCTGTAGTTAGTGCTTACTTCCGGTAAACAAGTGATTCTCAGAGGAAAAGTGCAGGCCCCCTAGGAAGTTTTCTCAAATCTCAGGGACCAGAGTAATCAATGGGAACATTTTGTATTTTTCCAAAGGAACATGATTTTTTTTTTAAGATTTTATTTATTTATTTGACAGACAGAGATCACAAGTAGGCAGAGAGGCAGCCAGAGAGAGAGAGGAGGAAGCAGGCTTCCTGCTGAGCGAGAGACTGATGTGGGGCTCGATCCCAGGACCCTGGGATCATGACCTGAGCCGAAGGCAGAGGCTTTAACCCACTGAGCCACCCAGGTACCCCAGGAGCATGATTTTTTTAAAGGACAGACTCTACCCGTACAAAGGACATACTGCTTCCCGTTCTTTTCTCTGCTTGAAGAAATTCTACCTACTCTTTTAAGCCCAACTCAACTGGGAAGCCTTCCTCAGCCCCATAGGCTAAATTTATCTTTCTACGGTCTCCTGAAGCACCTGGTTCATCCCACTAGTACAGCGTATACCTTAGGCTACCACCGAGGGCTACGTGAGAGCCCGTCACCCAGTGGGCTGCATGCCGCCCCCCACCCCCAGCACCGGAAATGCGCCTCATATGACTTCCTGTACCCATTTCAGGGTCAACCGACAGGCAAGAGAAGATCCTATTGACTGGCAGAGAGGTGGTGCTGGCATAAGAAGCATGTGGGACGAGAGGATGGAAGAGAAAAGTGAGCAATGTTCTCTGAGAGAGAGGGTGTAGTACAGGGGATTTTATCTATTGCGAAGGGCTTCAGAAAGGAGGACTTTCAATGGGCTAATGCTCAATTGGTTAGAAAGACCTAATGAGGGCACCTGGGTGGCTCAGTGGATTAAAGCCTCTGCCCTCAGCTCAGGTCATGATCCCAGAGTCCTGGGATCGAGCCTGAGTCGGGCTCTCTGCTCATCCGGGAGCCTGCTTACTCCTCTCTCTCTGCCTACTTGTGATCTTTATCTGTCAAATAAATAAATAAAACCTTAAAAGAAAGAAAGAAAGAAAGAAAGAAAGAAAGACCTAATGAGAATTTGTTGGGAGCAGAGGAATTTCTTGGGAAGGTAAAGGATTGATTCAAGGAAATTTCTTTCTTTCTTTTTTTTTTCTTTTTTCCTTTCTTTCGATTTTATTTATTTATTTGAGAGAAAGGGAGAGAGAGAGAGAGCATGAGCAGGGGGAGGTACAAAGGG